CTCCTTCTGCAAAATGTACTCTCTAGGCTAGCGGACCAACTCCCAACTGGCATGTTATCTCGTTATGGGCCAATTTCTACTCTTTCCGGCCGCCTCCCGAAGCCTGGTAGAGGCTAGGTTTCCTGTCCTAGCCTGGGAATGCCCCTGTCCAACTCTCCCACACCAGCGTTTGTGGGAACGGGGGGATCTCGGTCGGCCCTGTGGTCTGGGACGTGCCCCGGTTGTCTGAATGAAGCAGCGGCCGCCCTGCCCCCTGAATGGAGGCGTGATTTACATGACTAAGAGTCCACATCCTGACCCGGCACACTCAGAACTTCCACATTCCTCTGCCGGGCAACCTATAATTACCGGAAGATGAATGGAACTAAGGAAGTGGGGCGCACCGTTTCTTTACTCCTATCTCTGAGCAGAGGTTTAGTTGGTGTGGTATGGTTTCTAGAAAGGCCGACATTTGCTTGGGAGCAAATACAGCATATTTCAGTCCATGTCCCTCGCACGCAAAAGTGGACTATTCCAAACTTACCCCAGTGCAAAACTGGAAGATTCTCAAATATAATTATAACAAAGATGCAAGAACAAGCACTTTGAATCTCGACAGCTTTACTTACAAAATTTCACATCACTCTAATCGCACAATCTTATTGCAGGTACAGTCAAACCTGTACTAGCGGTCACCTTGGCATTGCGGTCACCCGGCCATAGCGGTCGGTTTTTGCCGGTCCCTTGAATTTTTCCCATTGACGTAAGCATTAAGAATCGCGTATATAGCGGTCACTGTTCAACGCGGTCAGCGGTCACCCCATTCTGGTCCCGCCGGCTGTCAACACCGCCGATAGCGGTCACGGCTGGCCGGCCCGTTACCCGCTAAGCACCACGTATGTAACACCACCCGTGCACCCGACCTCGGGCTACGGCCGTTAGGACGTTCAATCAAGCCTTGTGATAATTTTGTGGCCGCTACAGTATTAAAATGTGAACTGAAATTAGACTCCAGATGTGTATGAAATAAAGGAAAACTTGATTTTGACACGAAATTTTTGCGGTCGCTCGTGTTGACGTCTTTGATATCTGAAACACCATGTCGTGCGTGCCGCGGTGCTTTCAGTGGACTCGGCGAAGATTGCGACAATCATCCTTACAAAAAACTTACGAATATCCATATTTGATTTTTCGATTCCTTGAAAAGCATAAATATGTGGCCAACTTCCCTTTTTCACGGGCATAATTCAAGAAATTTGGGCTGAGAAAATGCGTTTCGTGATTTTTCAAAATGGCGCAGGCTGCAGTAACAATCAGGTCAATTGGGGTCATCGGAAGACTCCATTGGTTTGGAGGTAGATGTACCGACTTTTATTTAATTTTATAGCATCAAATGGCGTGATTACATTACAAAAATATTTGGAATACATTATTAAAATTAATTTCTATCGTAAACTTAAGTCTGTAGCGAATATTCTACAAAATATGTAAGCCTGAAAGGAGCACTATTTTTGTTGACCACCACATTGGCATAATGGCAGAGGCAGACAACCCACGCCGGAAGAAACCCAAGCCGTAAACAAAGGAAAGTTTTCGCTACGTTTTCATGTTCAAAAATGACCAAAAAACGGAAAATAAACGGCAACAGATGAACAATTATTTTGCTATTAACTAAATGGACAGCATCTTGGTACAAAAAAAATAATTGTTTACATGGTTGGAATTCGTTGTGGCGATGTCGGTCATGCGAAGCACTCACCAAAGAACAAAAACATGGCGATGTCATTCTCTTCCACTTTTCGACTTACGGTACTAGTAACGTGGCGATTGCGGAGAAACGATGGCAAAAGCGGAAAGACAGACGTCGAACTTATTCCACAAGGTGGATGTGATTCAACTGACAGCGAGTGAGAAGGAATTATCGGTCGAAGGAGCTTAGATTAAAGGAGTTTGCAGTCGGAAGAAACATGGCTTGGAGTCGACAGAAACTTTGTTGCTTGATTCGCTTTCAAGTTTTCTGTAGGTAACATCGATGTTACACGTATACAAGAACAGTAAATGGCAACCAGTGATTTTGTATATTTTAGTGGGAAGGTTTCATAGTCCCAGTAGATCAACTGAGTATCATGTCGAGTGCATGCAGTTTTGATATATAATTTTTTTTCAAGCCCACAACTAAAGCAAAAGAACAACAATTGAATTATAACATGTAATGTTACATTTGAAAAGAGACTTACCTGTGCAATGAATGTTTTCATATGTTTGAGAATAAAGACATAAATACATCTTTGTTCAATGGTACTGAAAGCATGTGTCACTTGTGGGGGGGGGGCG